TAAATACCCCCCTCTCCAATTGGACCTGTCACCTTTTGCGTATACCCCTACTGAGCCCTGGACTTGTCTATATGCCCCTGTATTTCTGGCCGTTGGACCCTGCAGATGGCAAAAGAAATGTGTGGGCCCCTGCAGCCCAGAGCAAGGGTTTATGGGAAAGTTGCCGATGAGCTGGATGGGGGCAGCCACAGAAGTTTTGGCCATTCTGCATATACCCCTGTGTTTAAGGGCTATTTAAGGAAATCCAAAATATCCATGGGCAAACTTTTAGGGGTATTTCATCAGTTTTCCCTTTAGGGGTATTTCAACAGTTCTCCATTTTTTTTTTTAATTGAACCTGACTAGGCCAGGGGCTAGGTTCCACTTGCAAAGAGGATAGGATTGAAGACCTGAATCTGGACGTGTTTGTGGAAAGGTGCAGAATGTCGAGATTGAACTGCTTTTCTGCATGTCTGCTTAAAACACGTCCAGATTCAGGATATTTATCCAATCCTCTCTGCTAGTGGGACCTCGCTCCAGGTCTGGTGCCGTCAGTGGGACGGTGACGGTAACGAGGTCCCTTTTTTTTTTTTTTTTTTTTTTTTTTTTTTTTAACGAGGTCCTTTTTTTCCTTCTTCTGAAATCATATATCTAGTTTTAACTTTTTAATTTAATAAATAAATAAATTTATCTTTTTTGAGAGAGAAAGAGGTCTTGTCTGAGTCATTTCAGTGGCTTCATTTGTTTTCGAGAAGGAAAAACATCCGGATAATCAGACAGCCTAGGAAACATATAGGGGACCTAGGAAACATAGAGGGGTCCTGAGGCCAGGTCCCACTAGCAAAGACGATTGGATTGATAGCCTGAAGCTGGACTTTCTTTGTGGAAAGGTGCAGAAAACGGAGATTGAACGTCTTTTCTGCATCTCTGCGTAAATGGCGTCCAGTTTTTTTTTAAAGGAGATTTATCCAATCCTCTTTGCTAGTGGGACCTCGCCCCCACAGATGTAGGCCTGTGCAGTCAGGCCAGGGCTGTCATTCAATTTAATAATTTCTTTTTGGGGGTAACTTCAGTAGAGTCACAAAACCCATTTATAATTTTGCACTATGGGCCAACATACAGTTTGCAATTGCACTTCCGGCACCCTTCCTGGCCAGAAACCGCGGTTGTATATTTCTTTCTGAAAAGGGAGACCCCCCAAGGCACTCCCCCCCCCCCGTGCGTCTACCTTTCGATTTAATTCGCAGCCAGGATGGCTGCGTATAGATGGATGCGTTTTCGCAGCCAGGATGTATACAACCTAGCTTTAGGGTCCGGTGGGGACGAGTGCACCGAGGCAGCTACGTTGTCCAGCTGCATTCACAATGTTGTCGGATGTGTTGTCGTGCAGAGTAGTGCAACTAGGCCTAAAAAATAGGTATAAGTGGGTATAGGGCGTCGACCGGTTATCCGACCGTTCGTTACATTGGGAGATCGACGGAGGCGGTGCTACTCTCCGACCGTGAAAAATGAGACTGACTGAATCCTTCTTTAGAACATGGGAAGATGCGGTGTTCAGTCTCATTCGTTTTTGTTTTTTTACTTTTTTTTTGTATTTGTATTTTGTTTTTTAACTTTTTTTTTTTGTATGTCTGGGAGTGGACATAGTTTTTTTTTTTTTTTGGGATGTGTATTGCAGGTCGTGAGAGCGAGGGTCTTTGGAGATTGGAGAGTGTAGGGGCCTCGCTCCACCACCCTCGAAATGTGCAAAACGAGAGTGAATCTGCAGGTAGAGCATGGCAAGAATACATCGTCACCATGATTTATTTATGTCTTTTGAGCATGTCGTCGAGAGTAGTGGAGGGAGGCCCTACTAAGTTCATCGTCGAGAGTAGTGGAGCGAGGCCCTACTAAGTTCATTCCCATTTTGCACATTTCGAGAGTGGTGTGGCGGGGGGGTTGGTGGGGAGGTGGGCAGTAGCGGCGGGAAAGGAAATGTGAGTGACAGTGGGCACCCCGCAGGCGGTGGAGGCAAAAGCGGGACAGGGGGAGGGTCTCGGTCAGTGGCGTCTAGGGT